TGGTTACCACTGACTGCATTTAGAAACAGAAATTTAGTTCATCCAACACAGTTAACCTCACCAAGATTTCAGTGTGGCTATGTATTGTTACATCTCTTCAACCGCATGAGACCTCAGGAAGATTCATCAGAAGATAATGGCTCTGGGGAAGTAGTAATGAGAGTGACCTCAGTGTAAAGATTATGCTCACTGTGCTACACAGATAATGTGCCCTGATGTTACAGGACTTTGGAATGTAGTTACAATGAATGGTGAAACCATTAACACTTGAAAAAATATATACACATTTTTTTTAAAATTAATGCTTTTTATATGGTCAGCTAAAACACAAATACATTTTTCTGGGAAAAAAAGAAAGTCTCTTGCTTTTTATATATTACGGTTTATTAGATCTTTTGGCAATTTGTACCTGAGGTGTATGCAATATAGTTTAACTCTTAGGTCTTTGAATGATGAGGAAACTAATTTTTAAGTAAAAAAATATATTTAAATGTATTTTCTTAAACTCTGGCTTTAATCCACAACTGTTATTTTTCCCATTTTCATGAGGATTAAACTGAACAACCTTCTTCTAAAAAGCAAAAGAATGTTGACACAAGTCAAGTATTCTTCCTTTTCTGTCTGTATTTTGTTGTTTGTAGCTCAGTTCATATAATCATAGAATCATAGAATCTTTTAGGTTGGAAGAGACTTTTAAGATCATCAAGTTCAACTGTTAGCCTAGCACTGCCAAGTCCACCACTAAACCACGTCTCTAGGCACCAGACCTACATGTCTTATAAGTACTTCCAGTGATGGTGACTCAACCACTTTCCTGGGCAGCCTATGCCAACGCTTGACAACCCTTTTGGTGAAGATATTTTTCCTAATATCCAATCTAAACCTCCCCTGGCACAACTTGAGACCTTTTCCTCTTGTCCTATTGCTGGTTACTTGGGAGAAGAGACCAACATCCACCTTGCTACAACCTCCTTCAGGTAGTTGTAGAGATCCATAGGGTCTCCCCTCAGCCTCCTCTTCTCCAGACTAAACAACCCCAGTTTCCTCAGCCACTCCTCATAAGAATCACCAGTTTCATTGCTCTTCTTTGGACACGCTCCAGCA